AACCAGCAAACATTCAGAAACCTCAGAGCTCTGACGTGATAGAAATTTGGAAAATAAGTGATGTTAATCTAATTTTTTTTTCTAGTGATAAGTTTTCTCTGTCCTAGAAAAATACAGAATTGAAAGTAGATATAAGAACAACATTTTTTTCTTTCAGGTTGCATTTGATTTGGTTTGAAGTTGACTATGTCCATTTAGGTAGAAAGTGTATATTAGAGGATTATATGTAACTTGATGAAAGATTTTTAAGAAAACTTCCATTAATTTCAGTGTCATGATATTTGTGAAAAAATATCCTATTTGGAAGTTAAAATTTGAAAACAGTAAACTTTTGACCTTGGGTAAATGTTGTCTTGTATAATGCAATATATTCAGTTGGTAAAGTAAAAATTGCATTTTACTGGGCTCTAGCTTGTGGAAAACATAGTGCATATTGGTTGGCAATACCTGAGACCTGATATTTATCGAGGCTAACATGAACTTTACTCATTCTTACATTTTCAAGCAGCTTTCAAAGCTCTGCACCTATACAAACGCTCACATGAACTTTACTCAATCTTGCATTTTTAAGCAGCTTTCAGAGCTTAACATGTGTACACAGTGTTCAGCCTGTCTTGTTGCTTTTATCATTTTATTCTAGAGATGTTAGAGTTAGGGTTAGGGTTAGCACAGTGGTGTATCAATACTCTTACTAAGATGAGAATACACCCATAATGATTTTCATTTCTCAAATTTAGTCACAATATAAGCATTTTGTAAACTAGCACTATAATGTAAAAATGTAAGAGTAATGTTTAAAGATCAAAAATATTTTTTAACTATTAAATGTTTTAGTGGGCTTCATACTTTCAATACATGGGATTATATTAAATATGCAATATACTCTTGGAAGCATACATTTCCTAGAAATCATAAAATTCAATATAGTTAAAATGCAGTTCCTTAGTAGAATAAATGCTAAAGCTTTTCTTCAGGTAAATGAAAACGCATGTCAGAGAGAAGATACATTTTCTTTCCAGGGGTGACCAATTTTTCTGGGAGCCATTTTGGTGTTGTGGTTAAACAGTTCATGTTCATTGGCTGAATAATAAAAAAATTTGTCCTTGCTTTAGATGTCATAAAGAATTATGAGATTGTTTTGGAATGTTAAAAGCACGGAATGTAATTATTCTTGTCTAATAGTCCTCTTGAAGAGAAAAATGTCTGGAAGAAATTATTATTTTCATGTTTTTCAGATTTTCTGTCAGTCCACATAGCTTGCTGATCTTTTAGACTTACAGTTTCCTGTTACTTCAGTAACTCAGTGTTGAGGTGGACAGATCACAAATGTTGGCTGCCAAGTAACTCAAGACTGAAGGGACCTTAAAACTGGAATGGATGAATATGATTATGATCATCATAATTTTAACTACTGATCAATGGTGAAAGATATACATCTTTTCCTCCTTACTAATATGCTTAATAAAAATGTCATACTTATTTTATTTACTAGTATTCGTACTAACCCTTTCAACCTGGAAGACACTTCAAATGACATAAGAAATAATTTTCATTTTTCTTTATTTATATTAGGAAATAATTTTCTTTCTTCTTTAACTAATATCCAAATTACCAAAGATGAAAGATAAATTAGTCTCTGAAGCCAGTCTGGAATTCAGAGTTTGCTGGACCACTTTGTTAAAAATTCAAAGTTGAAAATGGGATTTCTTTGCTCCTGTTAGGAACCAGCAGGGTTTTAAACCTGTGCATTTTCTGTGTTGTTTTGGATTGACAAAGGTAAAGGCCAACATGAAGAAATTTTCACAGCTACAGCTTTATTCTCTCTGAGCATCCAGTTTATGCCTTTGTCCACTGTCTCCCTTGCTGGCTTCTTGTTAATGATGTGCTACTTAAGCATTTTTTTATAATCACCTGTAGTTCACTGCAAGGTGCAATCTTCTCATTTTTTAGTCCTGTACTTCCTGTTTCAATTAATTTTCAATTCTTCCCATGTAAACAAGCTTTCCACTACTTGAATGCTAACCTTTTCCCTGTGGCATCCCCTTTAAGTTTCTCACAGAGCCATGTAGGTATTTTTTGATATTTTTGTTCTCTGTTCCAAAGGCTATGTAGGTGTAACAGCTATTATCCAGGATTCACTTGAGAGGCAGCATAATCTCTCCCTCTCTCTCTCTCTCTCTCTCTCTCTCTCTGTAGTTATTACGATACAGTCATAAGAGGGCCTGTGTAATCACTTTTCTGTCTTGAGGGAATGTATGGTGATGTCCTCACGTAAGTCTAGAGATGTGTAGATTAATATTCCACACTGCTTCTAAGCTGCATGTTGTTTTGTTAAACACAACTAACCTCAAATGACAATCATACCATCTTTCACAATTCCTTGGATTTGTGTGCACAAGCAGTAACTGATTAATTTGCTGCCTTCCTTTACTTTTTTATTTTCCTGTTAAAACTGTTTGATGAGATACCTGGTTTTAATAGTTTGAACTGGAGCTACAGATGATGTGATGTAATGAAGAAATGAATACCACATTGTAATGTGCTAGAAGTGTTAGAATATATGTCTCATGCAGTGTATGTCTGTTTAATGAGGGAAAGTCTACTCATGTTTTCTTTTCCTGTTTCTGTCTGAGTTTGTTTCATGACTCCTGCCTGATTCATCTAAAATTTGAAATCAGCAGAGAGATCCAGCAAGAAACAGACTAATTTAGTTATACTAATTATTCACATCTTCGTGTTACAAACAAAAAAGACTTGCAAGCCTTCGTCGCCCACACCCTCCAGTATAGCTGTATAAGGCCTCTATGGTCTCTGTTCATATTGAGATGTCACAGATGTGTACACTTTTCTGGGTTCGTTTCTCACATGAAATTCTAATGACCATTCCTCCTTTGATTCCTTTCTCAGGCAAATTGGCATAGGCTATACAAAATGAAATTTAGGTCACAAATTATTTTAAAATTATTCTACTTGAATGAATGGATGATTTAGCTGCTGATATTTGTATATACTGGAAATCTGTGGCAAAATATGGCAGAAGATGCTTGTCATAAAAATATCACCAAAGGAGTGTGTGGTTTTAGTGTGAAATGTAAGTGTGCAGTTGAGTTTTAAAGATGAATTTATGCTATCCTGAAGATTAAAGGCAGGTGTGTTCACCTGCCCTGTTAAAACAACTGCGAGTATTAGGAATAAGTAATTTTAAATAGATCCTTTTAACTTTATGTATTTTAATTTCCATATTACAGGGGATCTGTTTTTCTGTCATGTGTTTTGTTTGCTGTTAACATGGTCCTTTTTCTGTTGCTCTAACTCGCAAACCGGGATGAGTAGGAAACAAATTAACAAGTAATGACAATCCAAAAATAGATCTGCATGCATTATTTATCAGAGGAACAGGAGATGAACTCCAAGCATCTTCCACCTCTGACCGTCTCTTAACTAGAAGTGTCCTGCCGTATTAATAAATGCAAAGTGAAAAAGGTTCAAGTTAATTGTCATGTCTGAGAAATAGCCCAAGAGTGCATGGTGTTTACTAAATATATAGCACTGCAGGAGAATTGGTAAATGAAACCTGGCAAGGTCTGAAAAATCAGTCTCCCTAAGATAGAATGTTTAATATAAAATGAATGTGCATGAAATTAAGAATATTTAACATGTTGCACCAAGGTGCGTTTCACTAGCATTAGAGATGGCACTTTTTTTTAACTGAAAGTCCTGATTCAGTGAAGTCTCTGAATCATTTATACCTAGTAAATCCCATTTTGGAATGTGAGAGGGAGAAAGGGTAGAGAATGATCAAATGCCTGTGTTTTGGAATAGTATTTTATTAGTTACTGTACTGGTGGGGGAAGTGCTGGATAAGCACTCCACTGGATAAGTGATGTATCAGTACAACAAATATATTTTCCTGTTTGCTTCATAATATAGGTATAGGTGCTTTTTATCTTAAAAGGTAATGAAAGACTTTTTAGTATAAACTAGTTACATGAAAACCTCATTATTTACTCAGTGTACATGAGTGTCTGTTTCATTGCACTTTGAGATTCACAAAGCTGTAGTAAAGATTCAGTGGCATTTTTATCTGCTGCATTTGCTCCTTCCTCAGAGGTTTAAAAGTATGTTGGTCTTACGCACTCTAATTTAAAGGGTATTGTATTTAGGTTCTTTTTTTAAAAAGGCACAGTAATTATCTCTGAAACATTTAAGGAAGATTGCAAGTGCTGCCCTTTTTATGTCTTATTTTAAAAAGTAACTATCGTGTTCACCATATCTGGCACATTATATATAGGTATATTTTTAACCTGAACACATTGCAATGTGTTCTGTCTTTAGGTGTCTGTCATATTGTTGTTGTCTGTGCCACAGGTAACAATAAGACTTGTCACTTAGCCATCTCATCTGGACTTTAATGTAATGATTGTTCTTTATGTCTTTTACAAATTTGATCAAAAAACCTACCATATGTAAACTTTGATTTGGTAGCCAGGATGTGTTGGATGCTAAGGTTCTACATGGTGTGAATTGGTTATCTTTGTAGCTCATCCTGAGAGTGGGTAAATTAGTCAAAGGTCGGTATGTTGAACCCATTGAGATCAAAACATGCTGAATGATGTTTTTGTTTGAGCACTTTTGGGTTTTGGTTGAGCAGGCTTTAGACTGGAAATTGTATGCTCACGTGTTGAAAGTTGTACTGATGTGAAATCTGATGGGGAAGCTGACTGCACAGCCCCAAATTCCAAGCGCTTAGTGCATGGCTGTGCTTTGATATAAGCACCCTAATAACATAAACTAATTCATGTGAAGTGGAGCAGACCACAGGGTTAAAATAAAATATTTTTAAAATTTAAGATGTTAAGCTGTTGGCTAATACCTCTGTATTTAGAAGAGGAGCGTGTGGATTTAGTGTAGGGACAAGAGTTGAATGGTCTACTGTTCGATGTATAGCAGAGATGACAGTTACGTGAAGTTACATATCATATATTATTTTTGTTTTACAGGATGTGACTTAAAATGAATTCTGATTCTGAAGGTCCTCTGAAAAATATGCAGTGCTTGAATGTTTGCTAAGGACTAGTAAGTGACTGATCTCATATTTGGACTATATATACCTGAACATTTTTAAAGCTACAGTTTAGTATATGAGAAGCATGTTCTTAAAAAAAGAAAAGGATGGGAGGGAAGAAAGAAGAAAAAAACCCAACCCAAACCAAAAACCTTACTGCACCACTGCCAGAAAGTGAAATTGCTCCTTATATCCTTGTGGATTCCTGTCTATGTAAGTGGAAACATCAGTTGTTTCTGTGGTTAGTCTTAGAACAAAAGAATCTCTGCATAATATCAAGAATATTTTGAATCAGAAGTTTCAATACTTTTGATACATTTTAATGTGTATTTGAGGGAGATAAAATGTTGAAATAACAAATTTGAACTAAGTATACAGAGTTGCAGAATGGAATATCCTGTAGTTTTATTTATTATCAAAATTTCAATATTGCAATCTGCATCTTGCAAAAATGTGTGACTTATATCTTGTTTTTTAGGAGGGAGGATTTTATTTAATATTCTAACATTGTGTAAAATTCCAGGGCATGCTCATGATTCATTGAAATGAACTTGTTTGGTTTAATTCTTTGTAACTGGCTTATTTTGAGTAATGCTACATTCTGCTTAGTCAATTTCTCAAACAAGAAATCAGCTCAGACAGAAGAGCTTCCAAGCATGCAAAATACCACAAGTATACATACTTAATATAGGAAAAACTTGGTGGTTTCGTAGGATCAATGAAGTATTTAAAATGTTTTCATGCAAAAAAAACATTATTTAAGAAAATATTTAGGATATGTTTTAAATTAGTATTGTATAGTTGTGCATTTTGCAGGGTAGTCAACTGTTTCAGTGAAATAGATAGAAAAACTAAATCTGAAACATGTAAATGTTGGTATTTTTGGGCCCCTGCTAGGACAAAACCTTCTCACTTGCCATGTCCTGTTTGCTGGATAGATCTTTCATCTACCAGCTACTGAGAGCGGTGGCACAAGGGAATCATGCTTGAGCTGGACAAGGAAATAAGTGCATTGAAAGACAAGGTAGCAGAAAGCAATCTAAGGGATATTAAGTAGTAGCTTTCTAAATTCTGTGGGGGTGAGTTGAGTACGATGAGGGAAGAAATAGTTGCATCAAACTGAAAGCTTTCTGCCTACTGTGCTTAGTAATTTCAGCATCCTTTTGGTTTGAATGCGCTGTAGGAAATGGTCTAAGGAACTTTCCCCATTGCAAACATACTGTATTGCTGGCATGTGCATCATTTTCTTGTTATTTCAGAGTGGAATTTTAGAAGACAATGGATTTTACCCTGTCAAAATACTGAAGCCATGGCAGGTTGGACACTGCTACTCAAAACCACACGTTTTCTTTAAAATCTATGGTTTTGTTTGGAAGGCTGTATCATACACTGTTGCAATAGATGGATTAGTAATTACTGGAACTATTTTATCTGCCATGTGCAAAACCCAGTACCTTTTTAACAATTCATTTATGCTTTTCACTGAGAAGTGAATAGACATATGAAAAGTGTATGGTACATTGCAAAGGGTTTAGGCATGAGCACCTTAATAATAAGGACTGGTGGTTTTTTCACCAGAGTTACTGCTGAGCAAGAATCTCTTTGTTATTTTCTGTTTTCTTGAATTGAGAAGAATGTAGGAAAATTTAAGATTATACATGCAAAGATGTTGCAAATAATCATGGAAGTTTGGAACTTTTGCGCCAAATATTGCTGCCTTCGGTTCCACACCCCCGGTGGGATTAGGAGCATCATGATGGAGTGGTTCATTATTGCTACAATCAATGGAATTAAAAACTTGCTTTGAAGACTTTGTTTTGGGTAATTTATACTGATGTAAAATTTAATAGATTTTCTTGCATTTGCCCAGTTTTATGTAGTAACTGAGCTATTCAGTCAAATTAAGCTAGCTTTTAGATTTATTTTAATCATGCAAATAACAGAATTTCACTCTAATTCTTTTCTTTAAAAAATACTTCATTTAGGTAGATAATATTGTGTGGTATCACTAGCAGAGAAGTCTTTTTAGCCATCGTTAGTGGTTCATAGGACAGAAATAGTGTTGCTGCCTCTTATCTCAGAAAGTAAGTTTACAAAGATGCCTGTGTTGATTTTTTTTTCTTTTAGTAGTAAAAATGCATAAAAGTTTCAGCTTTTGAAACCTGTGTTTCAGAGCTGTGTTTTGAAATAATTAACTTCAGGAAAACTCCCCAAACCCCCAAAATAGCCTTCCTTTTGTAAAAACTTTTTAGCCCATTAGAAATTACAGGTTCAGCTTCCGTGAAGAAATAGAACACCTGGTACTTTCAAAAGTGGTGATTTCTTTCATTAACTCATTGAGGAGTTAATAATGACAGAAATTTCTTCTTTTGCAAATACATCCTGTAGCTGGGAAATTAGTTTTACTAATTAAGAATTTGTACTGTAAATCCATCTGTTTTGGGAAGCAGCCTCTGTAATTTCCTTAGCTAAACAGTTACAGAATTGTTCTAGGCATGACCTGCCTGCGCAGCTTGTAATTATATTCTTAGCGAAAGGAAAATGCATGTGCAGCAACTCTGCAGCTTCAAGCCTGAACAAACTACCACCAGTTACTTGGAAGTAAGAGTAGGAAAACAGTGTATTCAAATTACTGATTTTTTCTTCCTTGTCCAAGCTCCTAGATTTATCATGTTTCAGACAAATTGTAGTAAATTTTGGTTTTCTATTCAATTATGTTGTGAGGTATCTCTCAGTACAAGTAGATATTAAGCCAGAAATGACATTTAAATCATTTAAAATAACATGTAACCTTCAAAATTATGTTATAGTGAAATGTCTATCCTAGTTCAAATTTTCAACTGCTTAATGTGTTTCAAATGCTTCCGTCTCTTAAGCAGAATTTACTCTTGGATTCAGACATACTTTTTTTGTCCACATCCTTCCTGAGTTAGCCTTAAGACTTACATTTTAATCTCTTCCTTTCTCTTTCCACATTAGCTCTTAAACCTTCCATTCTTACTGTACTCAGCCTGTAAATGTCGTTAGAGAGGGGGGGAGGGAAGCAGCAATCCTGCAAGTGTGTGCAGGTGTCACCTACAGCATGCCTGAAGATGCAGCTTCAGCTGTGAGGTCCGTAAACATAAGACCTTGAGTCATATGTAATGCTGAGTACCAGCTTCAGATAATCAACTGCTTTTTGCATGATCATAAACTGGTTTTGGAATCTCTTTTTTCCAGCTGCTTACTTGTTCAAATGAGTAGTTTTTCATTCAGCTGAATGACGCTAATTGAAGGCAATATGATCCCCGCAGTTGTCCAGTTCTGTACTGGCATCTAGTGGCCTAACAGTGTATTTTTCTTGAACTTTATGTAAAGTAGGCCACCACAGATGTATTTGGGATTTTTTTTGCCCTGGAGGAATATACGAATGGATAAAGGTCTTCAGACTTGCTCTTCCATCTCTCTGCTGGGTTTGTCTTATTCATCCTGTTTCTTTACCAATATTTATGTGTAAGACCAAGTTCTTATCTGTACAGTTCATGCCCATAGTACAGAGTTAGGCATCTTTTGTAGTTGTTTATTTCAAATGGAAGATTATGTTTGATTATTGGGTTTAATTCTGTTGTCATTTTAAAACATGTTATCCTTCCTTTTATAATATATATCAATTGGCATGAAGATTGGTTATGATAGAATTTTATGTTAAGCATTTTATTAGCTGCAAAGAGAATTTTTACTTTAAAAAGATGCCATTTTATTTCTGGGCCTTTTTATACGTGCTAGAGTAATCCAATCCTTTGTCCTGTCTAGCTTTCAAAATTTTGTACTGCTGTAGAAAGAATGTTCTTTTAAATTCTCAATGTGTAGAATTAAAAACCTCCATGCTGCTTCATGCAAATCTGTTCTTGTGTGTCTTGGTCCTTTCAGTTTAGGCTTTAGAAAAAACTACAGCAGATATTCCCCCCACCACTGACAAGAAGCCAATAAGCAAAAATTCAGTCAAGTAATACAAAAAGTATTGAAGTATTACCACGCACTCACACACTTCTCAAAAGTAATACACATGCTTCTTCTTTTTGTTTTCTCCCTTTTTTTCTTTTTCCCTTTTTTTTTTTTCCCCCCCGTAGATATCATGTCGTGGAAGCAGTTAGTTGATTTGCTACCCTTTGAGGGATTGGTTGTCTTTGCTGCTAGTATGCACTGCGGACTTGTGTTTAACTAACTTCCTGTTCAACAGAGTGCTCATATTCTGTTCTTCAGAGCTTCTTGAGACAGTTGGCCACCAGCTTCTGATACCTTAACATAAACTTCATTTAGTTCTATCAGTTCCTTGTCCTTGTGATTTGTTATCACTGACTCCTAGGAATTTAGTTGTCCTAGGCCAGTTTCTTTAAACAATTGTCGTAATGGTAGTTTTTGCTTGTGGAGACAAAGAACTTTTTCTGTGAAAGATTTCTTAATGCTTGGGTTATGTTATGCAAAAAGGTTCTCTCTAACTGACAAGTATAACTCTATTAAGTAAATATTTAACACCATTTATTGCTACTGCTGTACAGGGTAAAGAACTTCATTCTGAACTAGAATGCAGTAAATGAAATTTACACTTAATTTGGAAATTTCTGTAAAAAGGGTAAAATAGTGCTTAATTTCTAAGTGCCTAGATCTGTTTTGTCTCATTGTGGTTAGAAGACCAAAACCAATTTTGAACATCTTTTTATAGTTCTAGCTGTGTTCTACAATAGTCCAACTAGATACATAGCATAGATCCACTAATTTTTTTTCCTCCCTCAGCGTGTTGCTGATCCTAGCATAACAGGACCTCACATGGCTTTCTTCTCTCATCTGTGTCTATGCTCCTTTTTTTCTTGGGAGTGAGGGGAGATGAGTGTCATATATATCTAATCTGCCAGGTTTGTGTAATGTAACTAGACTTTGACAAAATCGCCTTATATTTCATTGGGTTATGGCCCAGTCTTTGCTCCGGAAGCAATAGAAATGAAAGACAGTGGAAGTGTTTGCTTGCCTTGGCCTCAAAGTTTTAGAAAACTGTATGGATTTTAGAAGATTTAGCAAGAGATGTGAAAACTATAGTAACCTATCAACATGGTAATAGTAATCTATTGGCTTTATGCAGAGATGAGTTTGAAACTCCTGTAAGCCCCCTGATACACTCCTAAGGATGAAAATTATTTGTTTCTGCAACTGTGTTTTAGTATAACATTAATTTATTGCTTTCTTTTCAAGTTATCTGAATATATGTTTAAATACTGAGAATTTCTTTTTTTTAGATGAATTGGAGTTATACAGTGGTCCAAGTTTAATGGTGCAAATATTAAATATCTCTGAAAAAAATTAAATGCATTTTTAACCTTTACTTTTGCTTAGAGTGATAGAAAGGTTTAGTAACCTGTGTTTTGGCTAAATAAAGGGTAGATTTTAAAGAAATGTAAACAAACATTACTTTTCAGTAGCACAATATTTATGGATTTGCATTAAGAAAACTCACTTGTAAATCTGATAAAAATAAATTACTTATCTGGATAAGTTCTCTGCATTTTGAATTAGTATTTTGAGCATTTTATTCACAATTATTATGTCATTGCTTTTAGCTGCTGATGCAAGGTCAAGATGAGTGAATTAGGAGAAAACTCCTTAGATAGTTTGACTAATGAGTCAAGGAAGCGCAAGCCATTGCCCTGTGATACACAAGGTGCAAGGTACGTTTATATTGAACTTAACTGGTTTTTAATGAGTTTTTAAAAATACTTTTCAAATTTGCATTGCAATTTAGAGTAAATTCTAACTAAGGAATTTGTTTAGTTGAAAAAGTCTCTAGGTCAGCTTCTGTTGTGAAGATAGGTAATTTTACTATTAGGTGTAGTTGATGAACTGTGCTTTATAATTAGACTCCCGTGGAAATTTTATTACAGTGGACGTATCATAGAATATGTTGGAATGGACCTTAAAGATCATCTAGTTCCAGTTCCTCTGTCATGGGCAGGGATACCTTCCATTAGATAACGAATCGCTTTTGGAGTTACGATTGCAAGGCAAAAGAAGAAAAACCTCTTGCTTCACAGGAATTTTAAAGGCATCATCTTAAATCTGGTAATTGATTTGACAGGCCTCATTTCAGGTGGTTACGTTTATCAAAGAATGCTGCAAGAGGTTGAGCTTTTTGCTGGTTTGTTTGTACTTCCATTTCTTTTAAGTTCATCTATGCTATCTTCCTGCCCCTCACCCAGCTCTCTCAGATACTGTTGACTGAGGGCCTCCGTTTTCTGTTCCCCATGACTTTCATTGCTCTCCACCATGTGAGAGCAATGTTTGTTTCTTTCTTTTCCTTTCTTTCTTTCTTTCTTTCTTTCTTTCTTTCTTTCTTTCTTTCTTTCTTTCTTTCTTTCTTTCTTTCTTTCTTTCTTTCTTTCTTTCTTTCTT